CCAAGAAGGACGGTGACCCAGACCCCGTCTAATGAAGATAACCTTCCCATCTTCCCACATGGCGGCTGCAGTTCTGGAAGCATTTCGTGCTAATAGACGTCGATTGCCACCTGGAATCCACATGCACCCGGATAGGCCATACGAAGCTAGGACCAAGAACAAAGGCAAGTTGGAGCTGACCATTCCACTTGTGGACTGTCTAAACGATAAAAAAACGTGTAAAGGACAGGGCCTACCACCTCGGCAAACCTCATATAGGTGGGCTACCTGTCCATTCACATAAGGTTCATACAGAAAAACAGGACGAAGCTCACGCGTTCCAAATTGAAAGCATAAACTGCTTATATATGAACGCCGCGAGTCTACCAAACAAACTGGATGAACTACGTGAACTTAGCAACGCTAATAAGGCCCATCTGATAGGAATATCTGAAACCTGGATATCTTCTCAGTTCTCGGACCAAGAGTTAGCATTACCTGGGATGACTTTGTTCCGCAACGACAGAAAAACAGGAATTGGGGGCGGAGTAGCCATATACATAAGCTCTTGCTTGGAGGTGCACCAAGTTCACAACCTCGAGTTTAACAATCTTGAGGAATCCATATGGTGCTCTGTAAGATTGTCTAGTACTTCGAGGTGTCTAGTCGGAGTCATTTACAGGAAGCCAACTGCCGACATCGAGTACGATAGTCGTATGCTGGAAGGACTATCCCGCTCTATCCGTCTCGGTTTCACACACATCCTGATTCTAGGGGACTTTAATCTCCCTAGAGTCAACTTCGCGGAACACACGTACACTGGAGGCGACAACTCAATTGAAGCTCGGTTCTACAACCTCATCGATGACTTGGGCTTATATGAAAATGTGAGGTCGGCAACTCGTTGGAGAAACAGTCAGACACCATCGCGCTTAGACTGTGTATTCACTAACGAAGAATTCCTAGTCGACAACCTCTCAATCCTGGCTCCTCTGGGAAAGAGCGATCATGCCGTCATAGCCTTCAGTTTTGTCATCAAAACTAAGCTAAGGTATCCCAACAATAATTTGCGTTGGAATTTTAAACGGCTGAATGTCCCAGCTCTACATGACTATCTACAACAGGTGGCTTGGGATGTTCACCCTCAACTCGATGTGGATGGTCATTGGGACTTCTTACTGCACACGCTCTTATGTGCTACAGACCATTCAGTTCCTCAAACGGTTCCCAAAAGCTGCAAGCCACCTACAGTAATCAAGAACCGTACCCTTCGCCTGCTAAGCCGCAAAAGGCACTGTTGGGCGGAATACAAACGAACTAATAACGATGGAGCGTATAGGCAATATAAACATATCAGGAACATATGCACGAAGGCTATAAGAGAAGACAGGCTTCAGTACCAAACAAAGCTTATGGACAAATTCGCCTCTAACCCTAGAAGCTTATTCCGTTATGCAGCCTCTCTTCGTCAAGCCAAAACAGGAGTTTCTCAACTGGTAGGTCTTAACGGCCCGACCAACAACGATGGCGACGCCGCTAACCTTCTGGCGGCACATTACTCTCAAACATTTCAACCGGCTGACATCAACTTTACTGACGACAGTTTCATCTGCAATTCCACAGGACTTTCTGAAGTGGACCTAAGCGCTGACTTGGTGTTCCGGAAATTGCAGCACTTAAGATTAGACACTTCTCCTGGCCCGGATATGGTTCATCCTGCCATACTGAGGGAGGCAGCCTCAATCCTGGCAACGCCGCTTAGCGTGATGTTTTCTCACTCGCTTAGCCGAGGCAAATTACCGGAAAATTGGAAGTTGGCTCACATCACACCAATTTTCAAAGGTGGTCGACGCAATGAACCTTCAAGTTATCGGCCGGTGGCTCTTCTGTCATTACCTTCAAAACTCATGGAGTCCCTGATATGCGACGGTTTAAATGACTATCTACTGTCCTTAAATTTCTTCTCACCCCAACAGCATGGTTTCAGGAAGGGTTACTCTTGTATAACCAACCTGCTGACTGCGGTGGACAGATGGACAAGCATCCTCGATTGCAAGGGAAAGGTTGATGTCATTTACCTTGATTTCTCAAAAGCTTTTGATAAGGTTAACCACATGTGTCTTATCAACAAGCTCAAACGACTAGGTATCAAACCACCCCTAATCGATTGGCTTACTTCATACCTAAAAAATCGACACTTTAAGGTTAGGGTTAATTTCACTTTATCTCAGGCTATGGAATGTCCTAGTGGGGTCCCCCAGGGCTCAGTACTAGGGCCTCTTCTCTTCTTGATCTACATAAATGATCTTCCTCAACAGGTAACGTCAGATTTATTACTTTTTGCCGACGACGTGAAACTTTGGAGAGAGATACGCAACCAAGACGATACACAGGCACTTCAGGAGGATCTGACTCGACTTCAAAGTTGGGCAGACGATAACGGACTTACCTTTAACACTTCAAAGTGTAAAGTAGTCCATCTGCGACATGTTGCAAACTACAGTTACAACTTAGGAAACTCCTCTCTAGTAGTATCCCAAGTCGAAAAAGATTTAGGAGTCCTGGTGCCCCATGATTTAAAGTCTTACGCTAACTGTGACAAAAATGCCTTCCGAGCAAACCTTGCACTGGTAACGTTGAGGCGCATTTTTGGCCAGTTTGACGGAAGAACTTTCCACACAATCTTCAATAGTTTCATCCGTCCCCATTTAGAGTACGGAAACATAGTACTCCCCCCTCACTCCAAAAGGACAAGGTCACTTTGGAGCGTATCCAACGGCGAGCCACGAAATCAGTTCGAGGACTCAAATCTAAGCCTTACGAAGAACGCCTCCGTTCACTAGACCTTTACCCATTAGAATATAGGCGTCTTAGAGGTGATTTATTAATGGCTTATAGTATTCTTAACACTTCTGGACATCCTCTTAAACACCTACTTAAGCTTAGTTCGAATAACAACCTAAGGGGTAACACCCAGAAACTGGAAACACAACATAGCAAGACGGAATGTAGACACAACTTCTACTCCTTAAGAGTTGTCAAAAGCTGGAATTCGCTGCCAGCCGAGCTAGTCCAAGCGACTTCTCAGGAGTCCTTCAAGAGGCAACTTGACCTATTCTTAAGGACCAAGAACAGCATCACATTATGATTTACCAATTTCTTTTCCTCTTTTATTGTTAACATACCTAGGTTCCTGCCTGGAGGATTTGGTGATCCCCTGCTACTAGACACGGAAGCCTGTTAAGCGAAAGCTTCTTCTATTCCGTCCACAACCATTTGAACCATTTGAACCATTTGACCTCCGACTCTTAATTGACTCGTGCGCTACAGTTATGAGCAAAGTCTCCGGGTTCTTTAAGAAGACGGGTTTTAGCTCATGCAAGTTCACTTGGTTCATAAGTACTAAAGAATAGGTTTGGTGGCGTGTTTCTACGGTGCACGTGCCAATAGTGAACATTATTTCGTACAATTCAGAAGACGCGGAGTGTTACAAATTTGTGCCACATTCTACGTTAAATAGGAGTTGAGGGTCTACCTCAATGACTAAGTCCTGAGAGATAAATACTTTGTTTCGTTGTGCATTCTTCTTTCTATAGCCAGAAAATAGATATTATCTGTCTCATAAGTTGTCTAATATGGAACACCAAAATGAGACATATCCGCGCTGTGATTTCATCTACAAAATTAGTAGAATCACTGCGTCAAACTTTAATATTCCTGGTCGTCACAGTAATCTGGGTGGCCTCCTAAAGCATCACTACGTACTTTTAGTTGAGTAAAAAGTCCCTCACATCGGTTTTTTTGCCAGTGTCCGGAAAAACGAATTTTTTTGTCATCTCCATGAAACAAGGTCACGTCATCTTCCCTTCCAAGGTCTTTAGGCTGTCTATAGCATTAACGAAACGCGCTTTTTAGATGTACTTGTAGCTTAAAATGTTGATGTTTTGCAAGTGTATAGTCTTAGGAAATCTAAATCGAGTGCTCTGTCTGACCACAACTTAGAATTAACGAGGTCAGCTTAATGCATTAGTTAGCGCATGTTGTAATAGTGCCAACCACTTTAAAGTGAGCATTTCACATATTTTGGCTCCTTTGTCGTATGCCTTATAACATTTATGCTGCTAATCGAGTGGCTAGATAAAACTGTGATTTTCCTAGGTTACCAAGCCCTCAATTTAAAGCTATTCTGAAAAGAAGTGGAGCCGTTTTAGACCCTGCATACGTAATAGTAGTCAGTGGATACAATATATTTATCCGTCATGTAGTTTTATTCGAAGTGTTTGAATTTTTCAGTCATTTGTATCCTTACTGTGGGCAGACGTGCGTAACTGCTTATTGTAAGCCCCGACATCTACTTTCATCGTTTTACCTTTATAGGAAAGCTTTCACACATCAGCAAAATCTTTTAGTCCATGGTAAATGTGCATTTAGCTCTTCGCAGAAGTACTAGAGCATTTTCTTTTATAGAAAAAGCATATGGGTAGTCGTTTTACTAGTGTAAAACCATGTATTGAAGCATATCCCCTATTATTCGAAGTGAACTTGTGTATCCTTGGACTCCGTGTGAGATCCAAAATACTAGTCTTGAATAAGAGTAGTGGTCGTTTTGAACTTTGTTTAATTTTGTACGTGGTAGCGTCACAAAATTTAAGCTCTTCGAGGGTCTATGTACTTGTTGCTGTTTTTGTCTGACAATTAGCCCACTACTCATTAGTTTGTATTCTTGTCTTGTGTCGTTGTAAGGTAATTTGTTGATATATCGTATTTCCCTTTGGATGGTTTAGGTAGTCGTTTCTTCACAACCACTTCTGGATGCTTGGTAGAGGAGCCCATTGTTCTAAGCAAATTGAAACGGGGGACTGGTGGGAGAGCTTCATTTAATGGCATGACCGTGACCGTGTTTGGTGGGACTGGATATTTAGGCCGGAATTTAATGGCACAGCTCGCCAAAACTGGAACACAGATTATCCTTCCATACAGATGTGATCCTCATATGATCAGAGATGTAAAAGTTATTGGGGATTTGGGGCAAGTTTTATTTTTGGTACGTAATTCTTAGGACTTCCTTTTTGTATGCAAACTTGAATGTAGTATTCATGTGTATTCAGGAACATTCAATATTTATCTCGAAACTGATTGGATTCTTCCACATACTTATTTTCATCTTTCTCGTTTTTTGGGGGAGAGTAGCGTTTCATCCGCTTTTGCCAATGTTGCTATATAGACCCAGTCGCCATGACACCATTTCCTCAATGACAATGTAAATTAAAGGTCTTTTCACCTGAGTATGATGTTCCTTTTGGCGAACTTAATAGATAGATCATCGAGCTGTCGTCCCTAGGTTAAATAATCTAATTGATTTGAAACCTAAACAATCATGTGATGCTGAGTATTTTAAAAGTCAAGTGTACTGTGAATAAGTGCCGTCCAAAGAAATGGATTTTCCATAAAGTTATCCTTGATGTGCATTGTTCCGCTGCCGTATTCGCTGAAAGTGTACTCTATTTTTATCCCTGCCTTATATTATTTCGTCAGTTTTGGGACGAGGATTTCTATATTGTTTGGGAGCATAGGAGTTCATGTGTCGACGATTTTCTTATAAATTTGTGTACATTTATGAAATAAAATAGCATTTCATCCTCATATATGGTTCGAATACTGGAACTAAATCAGTTGTCCAATTTGGAATGGTACTTCAGTTATATGGCCATTGTTTATTGGTTGAACCAGTTATGTTGTATGCTTTAAGACAGTGACAAGCTTACCTAAATATCTTAAGTCTATGTTCAAATGTAGTAACTAGCAGTTTGCTGGTGATTTTTGGAACTTCCTGCTGTTGTGAACATAAAGTGCACAAATCTAAGTTTTCTCGATGTTCAGTTTGTTTATTTTTATGCATAAATTTTGTCCATGATTCTCTCTCTCTCTCCCTCTATATATATATATACATATATATATATATGCAGAACTCAGCAATCTCAACTACCCCCCCCCTTTTATGATATAAATGTTTTTAGTGCGGCGTTACTATTCTGGAGAACTAATATGATGTTTACATTAAATTTATAGCCTTTTGATTTGAAAGATGATGAATCCTTAAGAAAAGCCATGAAGTATAGTGATGTGGTCATCAATCTAACAGGCACAGATTCTGACACTAGAAACTTTACTATTGAACATGTACACATTGATGCGGCCTCGCGGATTGCAAGGATATCTAAAGAATTAGGAGTTCAGCAACTGGTTCATGTATCTGCACTGTGTCAAAATAAGAATCCTCCGAAATATGTTCGGAAGCCCTCTCGATATATGATATCTAAAGCAATTGGTGAAGAGGAGGTTCTGCGTGAACGCCCAGACGCTACGATTTTCAGACCAGCTGAAATATGGGGACCACATGATCGTTTTTTGTGCTATTTTGCTTCAAGACGTAAGTTTATTTGCTTCTTTTTAGTACTTTGTTAATTTACTAAAATCACAGTTTATGATTTAAGCGTAGCAGAATGTCTGTTATTAAGTCGCGTAGAAAAGTCGATTTAAATATATTTACGTTCCCTACTCGCTTTTTGGTTTCTGTTTTCGAGATATATGTATGAGTAAAGGTTTTTTTTCTCAATCCATACAACTATTTGTCTAGCATTAGTGTTTATCTCCTTGACATAGTGATTCAAGCATCACAAGGGTCTTTTTATATTACTGAAAATACCTCACGCTTAGAATCTCCCTAATTTCGTATCTGTTAATTTTATCAGTTCAAGGGACTGTTACGAAATATTCATCCAAGTAATTAGATGCTTAAAGTCACAATATATATTATATTATAAACTAAAATATGTTTTATCCAGTGATTAAGTTCATAATTGTGCATCTGTTTAGGTTATATACTCGACTCGTAAAGGCTCTTGTGTTATGGAAAATAAATGCCTTGTTTACAGACCAAGTAGCTTTTGTCTCTCGTTTTACAGATCTCAGTTGTGTTATCCATGGAGACTTGTAAGGTCACGCACCAAGAAAACACTATCTGATGTGATCTTAAGCTATTGTATACACATACAGATAGTGATTTTAATAAATACTCGTACAAACAATGAGAATATTTTATTTTCTTAGGGATCATATCTCTCTGTTCGTGCTCCTGTGTACCACTATACTGTGATATATCAAATTCGTGCCCCAAAAAAGTGGATATTCCTGTAATCATTTCATAATATCATTACTTATACAAAATGTAGGTTAAACTTAACTCGAATTCTCATAAAACTTCATTATGAATGGACAGATTAGGTATATTGTATCGTTAGGACATGAAACCAGGTTATTTACGAGATGGTGATTAATCAGGAAAAAATAAACGCAACTTCAAAGTCAGGAGCAGTGATAAGTAACCTAAAACGTCATTTACTCTAGGCTACCTTTGACCTAATCCAATGTAACAAATGCACTAAAGCTATCCAGTTAAGACGAGTAGATGTATGGTTCATGAAATAGTCTGGTTGTCAACATTTGTCCATTGTTCTCTTCCTGGTTTACTCATCTAAGGTGCATTGCAGAATGATTTAGGTGGAAGCGGATAATTTTAAAACCAAGACTTCTCATTGAAAAAATTATAATATTACGAACTACAGAAATTCAAAAGGTTTTACCAGTAAAAGATAAAATTCTGTTCAGCAGTTGAATAAAAGTAACACAAGTAAAACACCAAGGATTCATTGCACTTGCAAAGAAAGCAGGGTCCCTAGCACAATTGTCCAGTTACCACAACTGTTTTGTCATCTATATATAATACCTGACAGCTGACCTAAACAGTACTCGTGGCTTCGCAAACCATCGGTGATCCACCATATATATATATATATGACTTCATCTATACCAAGAACAGTCTGACTTAACGTTGTCGTGCTGGATAAAGAATGATTTTAAGAAAGCTAATTTCTGTTTAACATTAGTCAGAGAAAATTTCTTATGGTTATTCGTTTCACGTTGTAGTGAAATACCTTGTCTCAGTTGAATTTCGCCACAATTGAAAATTGTATGAGACAATCGAATTCACTTATATATTTTATTCACCATTATCTGGAAAGACTTTATATCAGTTGACCCAAGTTAATAAATTTAAACCACATTTAACAAACTAACATAATTGGATATTTGTGTAGTAAATTTTTGTCTCGTGACTTTGTTTATATTCAATAACTTTTGTTTTAATTATTACTCTAAATAAGTTCGGATCATATCGTCCAGTCGAATTTTGTGAATATGGTTTCATTTCTGATGTTTACTAAACATCCGATCTCCAACTGTTATCAAACTTTGTTCAAATCTCGATAAGTCTTTACAAGTTCATTGGCTAGTTTAAGCTGGTTGATTTCATAGTTGGATTTAGAATAGTAAAAATTTCGATTATAAGATAGGAAGTGGAAAGTTGTTCAGGATTATTCACACCTTAGTCAAATGAATGTCAGTGTCATGATTCACGAGATTATGTTCATTTTTATTATTAGCAATAGAATGACCGTAGCTACTACCTTGGCGTAGTGGCCAGGCTTACCTATCGTGATGAGCCAACCGAGCTATATTAACTGGAATGTATGTTCCTGTAGGTTCGACAACTCCAGGCAGGTCGATTGAAGAACGGTAAGACTAAAAGCAGCAACTCAAGGTCTGAGGGCGAATTCGTACTGCTGACTGTAGAGGGATGTGACAGCAGTAAGGTGTTTCCCTCGGACAACCAGCATCTGTAGCGATGCTGCCTTCTCACAAGGAAGGAAGGGGTTAGAAAAGGCCGGCCCTAAAAATTTCACATCTCACCTTATCTGAAAGATCTCCGTCTCCGGTGGTAAGGCCCTTTGAAGAACGAAGCTAACACGTTAAAAACTTCACACACAAAACGTCCGTGCGTGACCGACTTCAAGCAGTTGTCTCTTGGGTCCTAATCTACCTTCTTTTTCAGGTTCCTCAAAATATACCCTTCCACGGTGTGGGCAACCGTGAAGTGATATCAGCCCTCATACTCGTAACAGCACACAAGACGAAGTTGGTCGCAATCAAATCTTTCCTACACCTAATAACTCTCTTCTCTCCACGACTAACCCTTCTCACCTCGCGCCGCTAATTCAAACGATTCGAGTACGCGGAACGTTAATTCCAGTCTCCTGAAACCACGCTGTTAACTACATGTAGGAGCTTTTAACGTCCGAACACTGTGCCAAATAGGATAACAGGCTTCCTTAGCTAGGACTTTAGAATCTCGCGCCATCGATGTGTGCTGGGTCTCCGAAACGCGCATACAGGATCCGAGTAGTGTCATTCATTTGATATCATCAGATCAAAATAAAGAACCATCTCGATTCGCGCTCCGTGTGTTTGGAAGCCCTGATGCTGCTTCCCGTGGCCTCGCTGGTGGAGCTATAGCATTGAGTACTAGGGCAGAACTAGCTCTGAGTTCTTAGGTAGAATCTGGGAACTGGACATAATCCCATCTGACTGGTTTCAATCACTGATTGTGCCAGTCTATAAGAAAGGACAAAAGTCCTCTTGTGGCAATCACAGAGGAATCAATTTGACTAATAGACACACATTCAGACGTCCCACAATAGTAGTATTTCTCGACCTTAAGGCGGCATTTGACTCTGTCGATTGTGAGGTTCTATGGCAGTGTTTGTCACTGAAAGGAGTGTCAAAGAAGTACATTAACCTTATACAGGCTCTCTACCTGAACACAACTGGCCGAGTGAGAGCTTATGGCGAACTGTTACCAGAATTGATTACCTCAAGTGGCGTTCGTTAGGACTGCCCACTCTCTCCATTCTTGTTTAACTTTGTCGTTGACGTGCTTCCAGAGATAACACGTTTCTCATCTAAATTTCCAGGGGTTGAACTTTTGCCGGGAGATTCACTTGTTGACTTAAAATATGCCGTTGACATAGTTCTATTTGATGAAGACGCTGACAAAATGCAGTCTTCTGACCACCGTAAGCAACAATGCAAACATGTTCGGGATGCGGTTCTCTCCTTCGAAATGCAAAATGTTGCTTCAGAATTGGGTTGCATCGGCACCTGAACTAATGATAGGGAGTGAAGTAGTTGAGCGTGTCGACCACTCCACTTGTCTTGGGAGTCACATCAGCCTTTGTGGTTTAGTGAGTGACGAAATCTCAGCACAGATACAGAAGAATCGACTAGCTTTCGCCAACTTGCGCCATTTATGGCGTAGGCGGTATATCCGTCTACCAACCAAAGGACGGGTTTACCGCTCATCAGTGTGTTCCGTCCTACTTTATGGCTGTGAAACGTGACCGGTAAGAGTAGAGGATATTCGTAGGTTACTAGTATTTGATCGTAGGTGTCTTCGAAATATTGCTCGTATATCGTGAGACCATCGAGTAAGTAATGCAGTTGTTAGGAAACGGGTACTAGGTAAGGATGGCATATCAATTGATGAAGTAGTGAAACTTCATCAGTTGAGATGGCTGAGACAAGTGTTACGTATGCCCAACCACCGACTGCCCCGATGTGCGATGTATTATGGTGTAGAAGTAGGTTGGAAAAAGGCTAGAGGCGGCCAGATCAAAACATGGCACAAATCCATGAAGTCACTGACAAGTGGGCTGACCCATGTTGATAGGTGTAGACTACCTGGTTGGGATCCGCGAGACGATAGCAACCGATGGTTATAGACCTTGAATAACATGGCTCAAAACCGTTTGCAATGGCACAGGCGCATCCACTCTTTGTGTTCTTTCAAATTCTAATCTTCTGAATTTGTGATGTCCCCTTTTTTTCTCTTTCCAAATTTATTTCACTGGATTACACTCCTTGAATAATATCTTCAAACCCTAATCTTTCCGATTACTGCTTATACTTTTACCACCTCTACCACTGTGGGATTTGAATCGACAGTTGTATCTCTATGCTAATGTGATGTGGCAACTTGAACTGATATGCATATGTACGAAGTTCTACGTTGTTGCTGGCTAACTGACGGAAGGGTTGTTTATGTTGACTTCCGATGTTTCTGTAAATCGTTCACGTATCAAACTAGCTATAGATCAAAAAGTTCATATGTTTTCATACACACCTCGTTCTAACTTTGTCAGTTACCACCTAATAACTTTTTATTAATAGTCCTTTTTCACATAATTTAGGCCGTGTTAAGCAGCATATTTCCAATCAAAAACACAATAACGCGACCTTTATCTAAAATTCCTAGTAAAATACATTCTACACCATCATAATCGTTCCTTTTTAATTGTAAGTTTCAGTTTAAACGGTGGTATGGCAACTTGAACTGATGTACATAAGTACGAAGTTCTACGTTGTTGCTGACTGACTGATTAGTGATAGAGTGATTACATGGATTTTTAGTTGATTACCAATCATATTGCCTATCTTATTTTGTGCTTTGTCGTCTACTAATTTCCTGTCCGCTTTTAAAAACGGTTATGGACTTTGGGCGACATAGTTATAAGAGAATATATATTCTTAGTTGTGGTCATATCCTTTAGAACTTGGGGACAAGCCCACTATCCAAGTTTCTTTGTGTTTGAAATGAAATCAGTTCTGCACTAGTAACCAAATCACTTTATTTTACTTCGTGGAAAATCCCAACATTTTGTTGCTTGATTGTCATATTTTCATGGCTGAACCTGTATACACTGTTCAAATATATTGTCCAAGTGATCCGAATTCCGGACATATAGTTTTCATATTTAAATTGACTGTCAGTTAACCTTTTAGAGATCTTTTTCGATTTCAAGATTCTCATCTCAAAGGAAAGGTCAAATCCCCAAATGTGTCTTGTTTTACCTAGCACAGGGTACTTATCAGTATATAGATTTTGCTTTGAAGTTGGTCTTAAATTTATTGATTCTATGGTTTTTCATATTTATGCACTTTGTTCAGCTCGGCGATTCCATAGATTTCAAAATGTTCATATCCCATTATGGGCTCGTGGCAAAAATACCGTAAAGCAACCTGTTTGTATACATGATCTTGCCCGTGGAATTGTCAATTCATTGCATAATCCAGAGTCACTAGGACAGATTTATGAAGCCGTTGGTCCTCATCGTTATCGATTAGATGACTTAGTAAAGTGGATTTATTTCATTTGTCGATACTTACCTAGTGAGGTATACGTAACTTCAATGACCCCCTTGTTTTTGTAAGTAACTTATACATATATCACCATATACCATTCTAGTTTTCTATTTTTATGCAACAATTAGTTCAGTACATTTTTTTGAAAACGAGACTGCCATATATTCACATTATTTTTTGAATCATCTATAAGAGTATCCATAATCAAGCTATTACGATGGCGTGATGATAAAATACAGAATGAAACAGAAGTAGCCGGATCGATAGTTTCTTTAATGATACCGACTTCCTAAAGGCAAGTATATAGGTTTTATAAATTAGAACTATTGACCAATCGACTAAGCATGTGTTTAAATATTAGTCTTAATTTATGTACCAAATGCTCGGTCAAAGGAGTATGACTATGGTCTACTTGTTGTTTAGAAAATGAATGATCAATAATAGAAATCAAGATGAATAAACAGTCCGTGACTACTCACTTCAAGTCTGTCATGACGTTGACTACATTGAATCTCATCTATAGACTTTGTTGAGTTCTTTAATTCAAATACAGTAGTTTTAAAAAGTTTGTTTAAATGATCAATTAGTGAATCCAACTCTTAATAACCATTTTACATTATTTATCACACCATCATTTCGTTTATCTTTTATTCACTTTGATGTAAGATATTTTCCAGACGTCATATTTAGTGTTATAGTGCGTAAGATATCCTACTTTCAACCACTAACTAGGTCTCAGGTTCGAATCCCACCCCACTTCGTTTTGGGGAACCGAGTATAATCGCTAGTCATTACATCAAGAATTTGGCTTGGAGCCGGGTGCGCGAATCTGTACTTGATAAATGAATCACATTATTTTGTCCTATCTTATCTTAAATTTTATCTTCACTGTATCTATGAGCACGGTTGGTACAGATCTGGTAAACATTCATCTCTAGTGATTTTGAGACAACTTCATCATTATTTTACCTTTGGAATGTGTAGTACCCGATAATGACGCTTCATAAGCAGTATTTATATAATTATTCTGCGTATACTCAATTAAGCACATAAAATTAATCAATCAGAGTTTTCGAATGCATAGATCAAACTATCTACCAATAAGCTTGAATTATAACAAGTGCTGTAGACAGTTGCTTTTCTAGACAAAAAAATAATAGATCCTAGGTATTTCGAAAGGTTAATGACTTCTTGAATGACCCACGTTATTACCTCTTAACTGTGACACTTGGAATTTGAAATCGGTTGACGTTTTTGTCTCTAAATTGTAGTTGCCACACATTCTGCAATATATAATTGATATTTAGGAAGTTTCCTCAATTGTATTGTTATGTATCATATCTTTAATAAATAATCGTAAGTTATCACGTACACTAGCATAAATTTAGTAATTTTATTTTAAAATTGGCTTAGGACAATAACTAGAGTTTAGATTTTCGTATCGATGGTTGCATACCTAGTATAGTGCATAAAATTTTCGTACCTCCAAAGCAATATTAAGTTGGGAAGTAGTGTGTTTAAATATATAATCTAAGTACAATGGTAGAAAGATCTACGTGTCAGTTATGATGACAATTTTTCGGCATTATGCAAAACTAGATAAGTGTCTACGGACATGTATTGAGTTCAGTGATGACATTTCATGTGATTGACAGCTGGTTTTTATTGATTCTTTGGTTTATGTATCAGCTAGGTTAACGAAGGTGATAAGGTTGATGGTATTTCTATCTTTCTTTATCAGTTATGTTGGCCCTATATTGATTAATCAGTGAGTGCTTCCTTTTGCAAATAGTACAGTTCTGTTGCTTCTATCCGAAATCAAACAGATAAGGTTAGTAGTTAATATTCGAGTCGTAATTCTCTGCAAATTTTGATATTCTTCACGTCACGTTTTGTGGCTTGTTACTTGAAAACATCTATCAGTGAAACTAGTTTTTGACAATTTTTTGTCGTTTCGACTTCGGGAATTGCAGTGAACCTCCATTCACTGGTCAAAATATTATTGCAATAATTGTTAGCCATTATTCACTTAATACTAGGTTAAGAGCTGTCTGTCAGAGTGAATTATGTTTATAGGGATTGTTTTATCATTTGTTGTTCACTTTCTTTGAATCACTCCGTCAATTATTTTCTGTTTTACTGTTCTGTCTTCAAGTTAAAATATATTCGTTTTATCTACATTTTACTCAGAGCCCGAACTTACATCTATGAACGTGTTTCTCCCAATTATTCCCACCTTACATTTGAACGGTTAGAGAGAGAAAGTGCTACGGATATTTTATCTGGTTGCCCAACACTTGATGACCTTAATGTCAAGCTAAGCAAATTGGAGGACCACATTAATCATATTGTATTTCTTTACCGCCGACAGCATTTCTATTGGGACGCTCTTGGTGAATTTCCGGAACCACCTCCTCCTCCTATCCAATTTCAATAAGTTTCTGCTTAATTTGAATTTAATACCTAGAATTCATAGTATGGTATTGTTGTTTGAGAAATAAATATATACAAACAATCACTCAATATTAATGCAGAATTTTAAATTTCCTAATCAGTTTATAACAATGGGTAGTAATGTAGTTATAGAAATTTAGACTTGAACATAGACCAGTTAAATATTAGCGAAATAATTGTGACCAGTGTTTGATAACGGAAACAAATCTGACGGTAAAAGCAATAGTGATACGTAACGTTTAGCAGTCATTTTGACTCGTCGAAGTAACAGGCATAAGAGAGTTGGCTGTTAGTAAGATTATGTCAGAAAAAATGCAATTGAGGTCTCTTGTCAGCTCAATGGATGAGGACGACTGGCAAGTTACTTTTGGGTATACCCTGACCTCCAGTTACTATTTCTAAATAACGGGGTCAAGGGAACGTCACAACCAATCTCCCGTAACTGTGAGGTATCGTGTTTGGCTGGGTCTCTTAATCAGATTTCAGGGTTTCGTAGAGATGGTGGTCCATCACCAGCTAGAGGCCATGAGCCGCATTGCGTCCTACCCAGTAGGTGATTGACTGAATTTGTAAAAACGATTGGTTAGAATCTTCTCATTATGACCACAAAGAGGTCAGACCAATGTCTAGAATATGAGCTTCAGTGGTCATCTTGAGCTGTCATTTGGAAAATTGAAGAAGCCCGGGCAAGTTTAGGATATGGGGGTGAGTACTCTTAAGTAAAACACCAAGGATTCATTGCTTTTAATCACTTGCAAAGAACGCAGGGTCCCTAGCATATATTTATATGACTTCATCTATACCAAGAACAGTCTGACTTAACGTTGTCGTGCTGGATAAAGAATGATTTTAAGAAAGCTAATTTCTGTTTAACATTAGTCAGAGAAAATTTCTTATGGTTATTCGTTTCACGTTGTAGTGAAATACCTTGTCTCAGTTGAATTTCGCCACAATTGAAAATTGTATGAGACAATCGAATTCACTTATATATTTTATTCACCATTATCTGGAAAGACTTTATATCAGTTGACCCAAGTTAATAAATTTAAACCACATTTAACAAACTAACATAATTGGATATTTGTGTAGTAAATTTTTGTCTCGTGACTTTGTTTATATTCAATAACTTTTGTTTTAATTATTACTCTAAATAAGTTCGGATCATATCGTCCAGTCGAATTTTGTGAATATGGTTTCATTTCTGATGTTTACTAAACATCCGATCTCCAACTGTTATCAAACTTTGTTCAAATCTCGATAAGTCTTTACAAGTTCATTGGCTAGTTTAAGCTGGTTGATTTCATAGTTGGATTTAGAATAGTAAAAATTTCGATTATAAGATAGGAAGTGGAAAGTTGTTCAGGATTATTCACACCTTAGTCAAATGAATGTCAGTGTCATGATTCACGAGATTATGTTCATTTTTATTATTAGCAATAGAATGACCGTAGCTACTACCTTGGCGTAGTGGCCAGGCTTACCTATCGTGATGAGCCAACCGAGCTATATTAACTGGAATGTATGTTCCTGTAGGTTCGACAACTCCAGGCAGGTCGATTGAAGAACGGTAAGACTAAAAGCAGCAACTCAAGGTCTGAGGGCGAATTCGTACTGCTGACTGTAGAGGGATGTGACAGCAGTAAGGTGTTTCCCTCGGACAACCAGCATCTGTAGCGATGCTGCCTTCTCACAAGGAAGGAAGGGGTTAGAAAAGGCCGGCCCTAAAAATTTCACATCTCACCTTATCTGAAAGATCTCCGTCTCCGGTGGTAAGGCCCTTTGAAGAACGAAGCTAACACGTTAAAAACTTCACACACAAAACGTCCGTGCGTGACCGACTTCAAGCAGTTGTCTCTTGGGTCCTAATCTACCTTCTTTTTCAGGTTCCTCAAAATATACCCTTCCACGGTGTGGGCAACCGTGAAGTGATATCAGCCCTCATACTCGTAACAGCACACAAGACGAAGTTGGTCGCAATCAAATCTTTCCTACACCTAATAACTCTCTTCTCTCCACGACTAACCCTTCTCACCTCGCGCCGCTAATTCAAACGATTCGAGTACGCGGAACGTTAATTCCAGTCTCCTGAAACCACGCTGTTAACTACATGTAGGAGCTTTTAACGTCCGAACACTGTGCCAAATAGGATAACAGGCTTCCTTAGCTAGGACTTTAGAATCTCGCGCCATCGATGTGTGCTGGGTCTCCGAAACGCGCATACAGGATCCGAGTAGTGTCATTCATTTGATATCATCAGATCAAAATAAAGAACCATCTCGATTCGCGCTCCGTGTGTTTGGAAGCCCTGATGCTGCTTCCCGTGGCCTCGCTGGTGGAGCTATAGCATTGAGTACTAGGGCAGAACTAGCTCTGAGTTCTTAGGTAGAATCTGGGAACTGGACATAATCCCATCTGACTGGTTTCAATCACTGATTGTGCCAGTCTATAAGAAAGGACAAAAGTCCTCTTGTGGCAATCACAGAGGAATCAATTTGACTAATAGACACACATTCAGACGTCCCACAATAGTAGTATTTCTCGACCTTAAGGCGGCATTTGACTCTGTCGATTGTGAGGTTCTATGGCAGTGTTTGTCACTGAAAGGAGTGTCAAAGAAGTACATTAACCTTATACAGGCTCTCTACCTGAACACAACTGGCCGAGTGAGAGCTTATGGCGAACTGTTACCAGAATTGATTACCTCAAGTGGCGTTCGTTAGGACTGCCCACTCTCTCCATTCTTGTTTAACTTTGTCGTTGACGTGCTTCCAGAGATAACACGTTTCTCATCTAAATTTCCAGGGGTTGAACTTTTGCCGGGAGATTCACTTGTTGACTTAAAATATGCCGTTGACATAGTTCTATTTGATGAAGACGCTGACAAAATGCAGTCTTCTGACCACCGTAAGCAACAATGCAAACATGTTCGGGATGCGGTTCTCTCCTTCGAAATGCAAAATGTTGCTTCAGAATTGGGTTGCATCGGCACCTGAACTAATGATAGGGAGTGAAGTAGTTGAGCGTGTCGACCACTCCACTTGTCTTGGGAGTCACATCAGCCTTTGTGGTTTAGTGAGTGACGAAATCTCAGCACAGATACAGAAGAATCGACTAGCTTTCGCCAACTTGCGCCATTTATGGCGTAGGCGGTATATCCGTCTACCAACCAAAGGACGGGTTTACCGCTCATCAGTGTGTTCCGTCCTACTTTATGGCTGTGAAACGTGACCGGTAAGAGTAGAGGATATTCGTAGGTTACTAGTATTTGATCGTAGGTGTCTTCGAAATATTGCTCGTATATCGTGAGACCATCGAGTAAGTAATGCAGTTGTTAGGAAACGGGTACTAGGTAAGGATGGCATATCAATTGATGAAGTAGTGAAACTTCATCAGTTGAGATGGCTGAGACAAGTGTTACGTATGCCCAACCACCGACTGCCCCGATGTGCGATGTATTATGGTGTAGAAGTAGGTTGGAAAAAGGCTAGAGGCGGCCAGATCAAAACATGGCACAAATCCATGAAGTCACTGACAAGTGGGCTGACCCATGTTGATAGGTGTAGACTACCTGGTTGGGATCCGCGAGACGATAGCAACCGATGGTTATAGACCTTGAATAACATGGCTCAAAACCGTTTGCAATGGCACAGGCGCATCCACTCTTTGTGTTCTTTCAAATTCTAATCTTCTGAATTATTTTTTTTGTTCCCAAGTATCTTATAGGTGTTTATGTGTTGTTTAGTAACTCTGTCGTATTTCTTCACAAATTTAGTTTTTACACAATTTCTATAATTTGAGTATTATGTTTGCCATATTTGAAAAATTAGGGTAATGATGGAATAATAGTCAATCAGTTTCTGTATAATCGAGAAGAATATTGATTTCAGTTTGTAGAAGGAAAGGGAGAAAATAAGGGAATAGAAATAACGAACACGTGACATATGGCAATAATTTATTAGGCGTTTTATTGAACACAGCACTGGAATAAACGACTATGTATCTAACTTCAAATTTGTAACAGAAATAAAGTAGAAAATAATGAAGGAAAAATAGTTTCATTGCGGTAAGATTTGACTCTAGAATATCTGTTTTTGCAGTCATTGTTTGGAGTGATGTTATGAAAGTCTCAATTAAATGAAAAGGTTGACCAAACATTAAAATATATGAGTCACATATGCATAGTGAAAATATGACGAATCTGAGGAGTTAATTTAGGTGTAACAAAAGTTGTTGTCTTAATTACAAACTTCGGAATCTCATAAATAATATTTATTTAGAAGGAAAATTCAAGGAGAAAATAACTGAACAGCTGGTGAAAGGGTTCAATCGTGATAACAATAATAATAATGATTGTGTAATAAATATCAACCTCTGAAGCGAACCAACAATTTCCAGAAATAATTTAGTGCACTGGGATAAATACTTGTAAATTTATGTAATAGTATACAGAGTGGAACCAGAAATTAGTATAAACATTTGTGCAATAATAGTTAAGAATGATGCTATGGAAGTCACAATTTCAAAGGACAGTCAGGAAATAAATATGTGTAGAAGGATAAGAAGAGATGAAAAAATACCTAATGTGTTGAGGGACCAATAATTATATTAATAACAGTAATAATTATAGATACGAACATAAGCAGACTCCATATATTAAGATAAATAGAAATAAAATAAAATAGACGTGAAAAGATTTAAGTTTTTAATTTGCTTTTTAGGCAATTAAATGGGTGACGGACTTTGTTTGTATGAATCATTGTTGAATACATTGATATTCAATAGGTGAAATAATCTACTTTCGGAAAGAAAATCATCAAGGAGACTTTTGAACCGGGTTGTAGTTTCACTGCAACGAAGGTTCATTGGCAGTCTGTTCCACATAGTTGAGTAGCGAATAACGAAAAAATTCTGACGTAAGTTTGTGTGGGTTCTTGGAATCGCTAAAATATTTTCCTTATTGCATAGATTGTGAGATGATATCATAAGGTATGAAGGGGTGGATACCGAAGAGTAAGAAATACCGTTAATAAGCCGGTAGATAAAGACAAGACATTTTCCCGTTGTTATATCGCAGAAATAGAGGCGACTTGATAACAGTTTTCGAATTGCTTAGTGCCAAATTTGCACCTGATATGCCCACATTTTTCTTGTCTTCCAAAACAGAGAATTTACGAGGACACTCTAAAAAAGTTCACAAGCCAAGGACTAATTACTTGTCAGTTGGCTATCGACTTTCCCATCAAATCATCAACGAGTGGAACTCATTACCTCAGCACGTGGTTGAGGCTCCATCCGTCAACTTTTTCAAAAGAAAGTTGGATCAACTGAGAGACCACCATTACCAGGACTAACACAGGCCATCAAGCCTGCTGTCCTTCCCAAACTGAAACTGAAGATTTGATACGTCTGATCCAGAGAGGTGTTAGTTTGAGTTGTTGACATTTTGGTGATAGTCTTTGTTGTTGGAATACCCCAGAACAGCTTTGGTGAGCCTTCCTTGAACACCTTCAGTTTTAACCAGACCATTATTCCTGCAATTACTGTAAACTAAAATACCATATTCGAGAATAGGTAAGATACATTTTCTGTATGATAATAATCTCGATTCGATATTTTTAAAGTTTGTCATTATCAATCCGACCAGCTTCCTAGATTTGGGTACTTGAGTTGCAATGTGCTCAGAAAAGTTCAGACTGTTGCTACATCTCAAACCAAAGTCACGAACGGTGTTGAGAGGTTTGAGTGTATGCTTGTGTATAGTCAGATTTAAGTTAAGGCAGAGGCCGATGTGAATAAATCCACTTTTGTCAACATCAAGTAGCGAATTCCACAAAACAGTCCATTCGTATAAGTTGTTTATATCTTCTCGGATTACCACTGAAATATAGCTTTCTTTGGTGGGAGAAGAGAACGAATAAACTATGTCTGGAGTTCCGTTTTCGCACCGAGTAATGAATTACTGTAATTCTCTACAAGAACGTGTAATACCAGCACCTTCTGCTGATGTATTCAAAAAAGGATTGAGCCTCCACAGTGTTACAGATTGTATGGATTAATATAGGTTGATAGACCTCTTATCCATACTACTGATGACTGAAAATCGACCTTGAGGTGAAGTCGCATTATATGAACTCGTGCGTTAAGACGTACGTTATCGACACTGGTATCGTGACAACTTTTTGCTCTACTTTTTCTTCCGACTTCTTGCACAGCCGAAAGTTTAAATTAATTGTGAATAAATTTACACTGATACATCTGAAAACGCGTGGTAAATAACTATTTTCCCCTGACACTGAAGCAAGTCATATATATATGGAAACATATATATGTTTCCATTTTCATCGAATACCTTTACTTCAGTGTTTGACTGGACGTGCTGTTAAATCTCGTTGATACTTTCAGTGTCTAAATCTAATTAATTAGAGTGTAAGTCTAATAACGTGCGTACAACTGTGATCGCATTTTGGCGATATCGTCCTCGGTAAGTTGTTTGTAGATTTTCCAAGATAACAGACGTCGTAACCTACAAGATGGCGTATTACTCAACAGAAACGGTCTCAAATATAGTCGTTCACTTGGTGACAATCATCGTCTCGAAGGGTATGCAGAAATATATCCTTCCGTGCAAGGGTGGTTGTACACGGTTTTAGTAGAGGTGACTTTTAGTTCACCGTTTACTACACGGACCCAAAATCCAGGTTGACAGTGGCAATATTTCGACCTAAAGAATAAATTTATCTGAAATAAAGCATGCGTGGATGACCGACTTCATCTATGTCTAGGTTGTGGTGGTGAGTTAGAAAGTGAATGCTCTTCGGAAGAAGGATGATCACTATCATCATCTACATCTTGAAGACAAGTATCTGATTCTGACTCATTGCATTTGCGTCCACAAGTACAAACATATCTGACGAAAAAAATACTTGAGTTGGGTCATTATTTTTTTTACATACTGACATGACATACTTAGCGTGCGTATACTATAAAAAGTTATCAACCACAAGTTCTATTACCTTATGTACTTCTCTCAAACAAGCCCCGGAATTGTCCCAACTTGTAAATCGTGATGACTATCGTTGAAGGTTCGTCCTACATCATGCATCATTACGATGGCGTCACTTTAGTTACTTGAAGGATGGACGTTATCAGACATTTTCGTGCGTTATGGTCACTTCGCCGTGCGTTCAAATCTTTTGACGAGGAAATGTTTCGAATTTTATATCCCACCTATGTAAGACCACATTTAGAGTACTGTATCCAAGCAGCTAGCCCATATCTGGTAGAGGATACTAACTCGCTTGAGCGTGTCCAGCGTGTGGGAACGAAATTAGTGAAGGGTCTTTCTAAACTCCCTTACGATGAGCGTTTAAAACGCCTAAACCTTCCCCCCTTGTCGTATCGTAAGACGCAAGGTGACCTCATACTGACATTTCGTATCTTTAATTATGATTTGGGTGTTAATATGTCTTATCTTTTTGCTCCCTCCAGCACTAACACTCTCCGACGTCATAGTAAGAAGGTTCATAAACCGCGATCTAATAAACTTAAAGTGGGGTCCCGTTTTTCTCATCGAGTAGTCAATGATTGGAACGCCTTACCCGAACAAGTGGTATCAGCCCCATCAGTAAATATTTTCAAGGAGAAACTGGACCTTCACTGGAAGGCAATCTGTCAGGATTAACACAGGTTCACCAACCTACTATCCTTATTACTAAAGAAGACTGAAGACATAGTGTAGTTGGACTCAAATCACATCTAAAATTGTCTTGACCTGACTGCTTCTGCATAACCCTACGAATTGCCGAGGTGATGCACCAATCGTTTTGCGACGGTTTGACCCTCAAGTGCTCAGCAACCTCTGTCAGTGGACGACACCCCTAAGACTTTATCAGAAGTACGGTGGGTCGAGCTGCTTCCCGGTCAAGTTATTTCAGTGAATAACAAATTTGAGTTAAAATCGCTTGCCAATTCACATTCACGAAGACATACTTCAAATTCAATTGGGGAGCAGTTTAGCTTAGTGGGGTTTTCATTGATAAGCCCTATGTCGCTAGTCGTTTACGACATGTTGACCCTTGCACCAAGTATCTATTTAAAGGTTCAATTTTCTCTTAAGTTGCCACTGGAGGAGAGCGGATTTATTCGTATACTGGTTTTTCTTATTATTCCTCATTTTTTTAAAATTAGGACTTCAGTTGAGGCTACTAGTAGATACGATTGCTGGTTCTTTACCCTTTCCCAATGCTTGTGAGTGATTGGTTTTGAAAAAAAAGATATCTACGTCATTATGTAAGATGCGGGGTGCTTATGTGAAATCCTTCAACGTACCACAAAGAAAATGGACATAAGTTGGGTGGTTCCGTCAATTTTTCCTTGTAGTAGTTATAAATTCCTATCACGAACTTTTTACCTTCAGAAAAGCTCACGATTATCGGCTCCCTTGGTCAATCGCGGTGCTTTTTCATGCTAGATTTTTTAATTCCCATTAAGTCAGACTAAAATTTTTGGACATTTCGCTAAGTCATTTGAAAGCTATGTGATTTGGTTACAACACATATTTCGTGGTTGCTGACTACACTGCGTTATATTGTTGTTTTTAATTCAGGTATGTTGCTTAAATCTACATCTTTCGGAACTTGTAGTAAACATGTCCAATCGTTAGTGTGGTGGTAACCCTAACTGTGTCAGATGTAGATTAGTGCACTCGTATTGATAATGATTTTCACCCAACCTAACTGATATGGATAACACCACACCGACTTACAGGTTCATAACTCATTAAATTCTAAAGGCACTATTTTTCATGCATTGACTTACCTTTATGAAGTGTCCCGTCACTCTTTGTCCTCTTAACATTGCTGTATGCAGCGTAAATCTCACTGAAACAATCTGACAAGCTTTCAGCTCTTATTCGGTTTAGTTCACTTAGAACGCCTGAGTTTCTATAAGGCAATAGCAAGGGATTTCTGTAATGTCATCTCCTCTCAAGATATTGCATACTTCTCCAGTTAGCATGTCTGGATTCACGAACTAGTATGTTGCAATTAGATCTCTGACCCTCCAATCATAACAGAATTTGCTCACTGTTTGGCAATCGGTATAGGGCTTAGTTGGCAATGAAATCGTCACAAGATTAAGTGGTAATCATACTCTTTTTTCAATTGAAGCTAGATCACCATGAAGAACCTGGAAGCACTGGATTACCATTTCGTCCTCCTGTGGGACTCCACTGCAGTGCGCATCCACGACCCCGCCTCGCGAGATTTGAAACCAGGGTTTGAGCTTTTCCATGGTGGTCTAGCTTCAGATGGCTCATGGTCTCAACTATTAAAATTACTATAATATTCACAAAACCCCTTCTGATATGTCATATTCATTAATGGTGATCCAGGTTCTTACCAGTCTTGTTCAAGAGCATACTCTTTTTGGCAACGTATGTATTTAGACTTTACTCAACCGCTTTATCGTTTTTAAAACTCAATGTATGCAAGAGTTTAATAGAATTTTTATTGGTGGAGCACTTATATGTAAGTTATATGATGCCAAAATTACAATATTTGATCATATGTTTCGAGTACCTTACTGTCCTCATTTGATATGGTGACTTGAGCCGGTGCGCGTACATGACAGATTCTAGTGTGTTTATGGCTTACTGATCCTTAGATTGGTCCCAGTTTTTTTCGATAAAGGTCACTCATACACTGTTACTACCGTCCCATCTTTTAGTAACTCTGTTGCTATCGTAACCAATGATTGGAGACTTTGGATTGTATAGATCAAAATCGTTCTCAATGATGCAGGTTTATTCATTTCTCGAATCGTATATTCCATGCCTAGTCTTTTCTATCACCATTGATACTGTTACTACCTCAAATATTCTGGGAATTCACCCAAACATTTCATCCTTCTGTGCTAACGGAGTATGGGAACTTGGACCGGTGTACATACGTATCAAATTCTACGTTGTGACTGATTAATATTAATGGTAGTTCTGAATAAATATTACGAAGTGGAGGCCACCAAAAATGTTTGAAGAAATCTCTGTTCGTCCAATATATTACTTCGATTTCTCTTTGAAAGCTGTACTAAATAAAAAATTCTAATTGCTTTACAGCCAAATCACCACTTTTTGGGAAAAGTTTAAACAAGGCAGCAAGTTAGCTGATACTGTCGCACAACAATTCATGTTTAAATCCCATAAACGGTTCAATGTCCAACTTGTTCGCTTAACACGTAGTTAATAACTCATTTCATTAAAATAACTTTTCTCTGTAAACTTGCCAATAAAGCAGAGTGCGGATCTTAACCTGATATTTGATGACTGGCTTCTAGGTTCGTAGGTCTTTGTCACAGATGAATAATTTACACACTTTTATCGTAAGTTAGTCTGCAAAGTAAAATATGGTTGGTAATCGGCTGCTCTTTGAAATGGATTCTTTCAAGTCTTTCTACTCTCATATTAACTGCATTTATTTCAGGTAAATTTTATGCTAAAAATTGTAAACTTGAAAGAACCATATTAACTTGGATTGTCTATGGTAGGTTAGTCTTATTAGCTTAATCATACTAATTTTAGTGTTCTATTCTGTGGATTTTTTCTTATTTGGCATTGCTGTTTTACCTATTCATAATATTGTTTTGCATCACCGTTGGTTTGTTTTACGTAACTGAGCTAGTGGAAGAATATATTGTCACTACGGGCAAGATAATACGCTATACAATATATGCAGAGATAGTACTTCATTTCATTCTTCTGATAACGGATGATGTTCCTGTAATACTTGTACTGACTGGATTAGTTTGTCATTGTTTTTACAGTTCAATGTTAAAAACATTTCCAGCTTTCCATTATCAGTCGTTCAGCTTTCTCGGTAGTGCTTTCCTGTTAATTATTCACCACTTAGTCGCATTTCGTGCATTTTCACACAACCCAAGTCCATTCTCTTACCTCATAGCATATTTTACATTTTTCTTATGGGCCGTTCCTTTCCTTTTTTTAATCTCATTATCAGCAAACGATTTTGTTCTGCCACAAACAGTTGAATATCAGCTTCCTGTTGAAAGTGATTATTTATTACAGAGTCAACAGAAAAAAAATGATCTAGTTTCTGCATATTTCAAATGTAAAAGAAAGAGCTTGTATACATTTCTTGCTTATTTACGTGAATTTAGTATTCCTTTACGTACCAAAAAGGGCTTCTAACTTTTGGTAATCCGTTTTAATTTGGGGCTACTTAAATGGTACGGTGTTCTGGTTTTCCGTGAATAGTCGAAATCTTGCCTGGATAGTTTTGTTTTGTCTATGTACCTTCATAATCCTATTATGGTGGTTAACGTTTGTACCTAAGTAACTGCGAAAGATTTTTTTCCATAATGTGTATTTTGGCTTAATAAAATAAAATTACCTCAGTTGAGCCCACTGTGGTGTGTACTTCTTTTTGCTGCAATAGATCGACTGTTCTTTTTTTACTGAGCTACTTGTCTACTTAAGGTATATTTACATTATTAGTGGATTGTACTGTAAGTTTGTAAATAATGCGCATTCACGTTCTTATATTTAGTGGGAATGATTACGACAAAGAAGTATGTAGCTGAAAAACATTTTTTATGCTCTAGGTTATACGAAAACTACTGATAAACCGAAATCCAGTTGATACAACAGTACTCCCACGCGTTAGCCTCTAGTTTAAAGTCTAACGTTTAAATCACCAAGACACAACCAAATAATTATGAGTCAGCTTATGATATTGCTGAATGGACATTAATGACCTTGAGATGGTCCATTGAATACTCAAGATATTTGATTGGTTCTGTGGAAATAGGAAGTTTGGAATGTGTCTCTATGTATGTTCATGATTATCACTTTTGCTTGCTTATTACTGCATATAAAGTGTATTAAGTATGAGAATACTGACTCAAAATTAGCTCATCGGCGCGATCGTGATAAATGGTGTGTTCAAGAAAATACTGTGGTCGTTGAGAATGTTATCTAAGAGATCACCGGATTATCAATAAATCTTAGTGGAGAAAATATTTCTTTAATGCATATATAATAGTGTTTACTGAACTAATACTAGTTCTAACTACACGTTGGTCATCATAAGACGGTATAGTGTCTTTCACCTAGTTGATGAACTACTACCGCTTCTTCCTCTTATTTCTCATTGCTACTTGGGATAATCAATTAGTTGAAATTATTTCTTAACTTGAGCCTCGATATGCATGCATACAGTTTCTCGTCGATTTTATAATATAACGGTAAGATGGTTAGTTTATGATATGCCGGATGAGATGCAATTATTTAAGTATCATAACTATTTCTTCCATTATTTACAACTCTCGTTCATTCATTTTTACCTATTTACCAATTAACTTTTATTATATTTACTCTCCTTCATATGTCTTTCACGATTTCACTCACTTATATGTGCGGTGCATATTTTAGTCCCTGTTTGTAGCAGTATTTATGTATTCAAATAAAGTGAAATAAGTTTGCGAAACCTTATCTCTTTTAATTGGAATGCGTTGTGGTTTCCTAATTATTATTAATATTTATCTGAACACATAAATATTGGTACAAGAGTGCGCCAGATATATATGCGCCACAAAAAACAATAAGAATTTAAAGAGAAGGAAAATGAAAAAAGATAAGGAGCATAAAAAAAAGAGAACGATAAGGAAGAGATTGGTGTAAGGTAGTGTAATAATTATAATAGTAATAATGGGGGAAACGGAAAGGTACAATCAGGAGAAATCTTTCAGTTAAGGAAGATGCAGCCATGTTTTTTTATGAAGAAAGTAAAAGAAGGTTACAGTAGGATCGCCCCTGGCTTCTATTCTGAGCCATATCTGATAACGTCTCTAGCAACTGTGTTGCACCATCTCTCGGACCCCAGCCAGGGAGTCGTGAAGGACCAACACAAGCCAGTCCTTTGCAGCTTTCTTTCATACTGCGACACCATGTCATACAATGACCACCTCTCCGTTTCTTCCAACCAGTCCCAGAGTCGGCAAATAATGCACGACGTGGAATTCTCTGGGACGACATTCGTAGAACATGTCCAATCCACCGGAGTCGTTGTTTCAAGATGGTGACACCGATTGCATTATCGTCTCTGCCCGAACACACGATGCCAAACCTCTGCATTACTAACGTGGTGTTGCCACTGGATGTCAGCAATCCTCCGGAGACAACGATGATCAAGCACAGAGAGTCGTCTAACATCCTCAACTCGGAGAGGCCAGGTTTCACAAGCATAGAACAAAACTGCTCTCGCCGACGCGTTGTAGATCCGACCTTTTACAGTCGGACTAACGTCACGAAGGCGCCGAAAATGGCCCAGATTGGCATAAGCCCCTCTGGCTTTCACTATTAGTGCATTGATCTCATCACTCACGCAACCACCAGCACTTATGCAGCTACCTAGATACACGAACTTCTCGACTACTTCTATCTGCTCACCATCCAGGGTGAGTACAGGATTAGAATCCTGCCAGTCTTGTAGAAGTACTTTGCACTTTGAAGGTGCAAAGCACATACCATACCTACGGACACTGATTGCCAACTGATTAAGTGCGGATTGCATGGCTTGTGCATTATCGCACAGTAAGACAATATCGTCCGCATACTCAAGGTCGAGAAGTCTTTCTCCAGGCAACAGATCCACACCACCATTACTTACACCCATCAGAGCTGTTTCCAGAATGTCAAAGTTGAAGAGGAATGGTGAGATTGAGCAACCCTGCCTAACCCCACTGCTCGAATGGAACAATGGAGAGAGGTGGTCCTGGTCCTACGTTGTAGCTGACTAACTGACTGATTGGGATCCCATCATCCTCGCAGATTGTTTCACTCACACCAGACTTCTTGCTGCCAGTGGCTCGGATGAGCTGGAAGAGCTTCCGGTAGTTACCAGATGCAGCTGCTGCTTCCAGCTCATTAGCACGCTTCGACCACCAGGCTTCTCGGTCCTTACGCAAGCTTTGCCCAATTTCCTTACGTAACATCCTTCGTTTATGGTCAAACTCACGGTCACCCGGAGTAGACCGACGGGCTTCAATGAGTTGTAAGGAACCAGAAGAAACCCAGTGCTTAAAAGCGGGACGTTTCGCAAACCCACAACTGACTGTTCCCGCCATTTTCATGGCGTCATGCAATTGCAACCAATGCTCATCTATACTTTTCGGTGGAGTGGTAGCTAGCCTAGAGGCTAGCTCGGTTCGATACTTACTTGCAACAGAAGTTGCAACCAGCTTGCTAACATCAATCCGTTGATGGCGGTCACTTCGTTGTCCACTGAAAAGTAAGGCAAGATTGGCGCAGACCAAGGCATGGTCAGAGTCCAGATAGGTACTCCAAAAGGAGCGGCAGTCTTGTACACAACCACGCCAGCGGTAGCTGATCGCGATGTGATCAATCTGAGTCCAGGCTTGAGATGCAGAGGGAGGACGCCAGGTGGCACATCGGCGATGACTGTGCCGAAAGTTAGTGCTAGCCAGAAACAGGTTGTGGTCTGTGCACAGTTGCAGTAGACGGTCCCCGTTATCTGACCTGCGACCAACGAGTCCCCATCGGCCACCTAAACGACTCTCTTCTGTGCCTAGACGCCCGACCTGAGCATTCAAGTCTCCGGCTAGTACTACAATATCTGTCGAACGCACTTTCTGGAGAAGAACAGATAACTGGTGGTAAAACTCATCCTTGATTGCATCCGGGCTGCAATCTGTCGGGGCATAGGCGGAGATGACGAAAAGACATCGTTTCTCACGCCGATTTCTTCTCACTTTGATGGAACGTTCCAGTGCTGCCTCACCTCTAGCGCTTAGTGCGACACCAACTCCAGCAAGACCAGACGAAGATGCCACAGGGTCCCCGGATAAGCGCACGTAAATCAAGCTTTTTGAAGCGTTAGATGGAGAGCGAATTTGTACTTCACCAGCCTTAAATACGGATCTCGGATAGACAACAGACGTCGATATTAAGACTTTCCAAAGACATAGTTAGCCCAATCTGTTGTCTGACCTGCATAAGTGTACGAACGTTGAAGGCAGCCAGTGTGAATGGTGCACGTGGTTTCAGAAAAACTGTTTCAGTACTCATATTCGTTGGTAACACACAATTTTCAACCGGACAGTGACTCGAGAACGTTTAGATCGAGTCGAATTTCCACCATAGACGAGCTGTTGTATAAGTCGAAAAAATAAGTATAGACAAAGTAGGAATAAAAGAGGGTGAATAATGACGTAGTAAATAATAATAATAATTTTAATTTGAATCATTTGATTGTTAGTCGAAGCAAGAAAAGTAGTTTCCATAATTATAGACAGTTCATCATTTGTGTGTGGGCTGTGATACTGCCCGGGTGCCCAGACCGAAGCAGGTGGTTTTCTTAGGGGGCCACACCCCGAGCCTTTGACCTAAAGGTCTAACCCGCAAGGCAGTGGAGCATCGTGAGGAGATGCAGTCCCATGGTTGCCGGTGACCAACGATTGGTTCATACGCCATTTGTTCCCGCAGGATACTGGAGCCAGCCCATGTGCACCATTGGTTTGGGATCCGGTTAAAGGGCCGGATATTCGCTTTTCGTACTCTCATTTTCGTAAACAATACCCCCGCCACGAGAATGCAGTGAGTAGGACTTCACTGGCAGAGGCTGTATACGCGTGGCCGTGTGAGAGCATTTGGAGAGGGAGGGCGAACCTACCCCGCTCTCGGCCATACCAGGGCATTTGGGGGCTTCCTAATTAGGTGAATTTAACTACATTTGTGTAGACATTGGTGGATTTTTAAAAACTGGAGAGACGAGTTTTTGCAAGCATAGAGCAAAACTGCTTTCACCGACTCGTTGTAGATCCGATCTTTTTCAGCCAGACTGACATCATGAAGGTGCGAAAAATGACCCAGATTGGCATAAGCTGCTCTGGCTTTCACTATACGTGCATTGATCTCGTCACTCACATGATCAACACTTACGCAGCCACCCAGAAACACGAACGTCTTAATTACTGCTATTTGTGTTTGATGTTTTTCGAAGGTATTTGTCTCACAGCAGTACAGATTGTGCTGACTGAAATGTAGATTTTGTAGGTTGGAGATATATATGCACTTACATTATTCGATGATATTTCCATTACAAGCATTTCTCTCACATAACCTAACGACCGAAGGGGTATGGATTATTAGGTAAAAGTAGTACATCAGTTGTGGTTGTAAACTCAGCAGCCAAGTTTAGGAAACTGCGAAGGCGATCAGTGAAATGCCACCAGTTTTGAAACTCATTTGTCATTAGTCTAAGTCGTGTTGTGAGGTGAACACTTCATTTTTAGGGTGTAAAAGATGACCTTACTCTATAGTGAAAGACTGATTGATAAATCTTGAAATTGATGTGTGCCATATGTCTTCATTCTTTACCCTCCTCTACGTTTGATCTAAATGCCATTCGTTACTTATTTATGAGTGACTATTGGGTTGTCTTTTATTGAAAACTAAACTCTATCTGTTTTTCATGTAGTTGCTCTTAACCTCACCTTTAAGAATACCATACATCATTTACTCTTTATGATCCCGAGTCTAATAC